CGGCCCACCTTGTAGTAGTGCTCGAGCAGGATGCGGACGACGCCCTCGACGCTCTCGGCCTCCACGGGCTGGCGGGCGAAGTGCAGCAGATGCTGCAGCGCGTCGGCGGCCGAGGCGGCCTTGCACAGGTCCACGTGCAGCGCCGCCGACTTACTGGGCTTGGCCAGGCGCAGCTTCTTGGCCGCCGGCTCCTCGTGCTGCTGCGGGCGGAGGGAGGTCAGTGCGGGCGGTCAGTGCGGGCGAACCCCCCACCCTCGCCCCTTCCGCGGCCGTTACCTGCACCACTTTGGTGAACTCCTCGTACACCCGCTTCTTCAGGTGCGCCGCCATCTTGGCCGCCACCTTTCACCTCCTGCGCGGCTTGAGCCGCAGCCGCCACCGTAGCCGGCTTGTGTCTCAGTGCTCTGCAGCGTACAGAGAAAGCGAGACGGGCCTCTCTAGGACCGTGGAGGTCTTCCTCTCGATGCTCCGCGGAGGGGGCGGGGCTTGCTGCTGTGGGAGCGAGGGTGGCCCCATTGGGAAATGCAGACCGCTGAGTCGGGAGCTGCTTTTGCAGCCTGATGCAGGGGCTGGGCTGGTGGGACAGGGGTCAAGTTAATGCCGCCACTGGCCTGGCTGCTGCACTACTGAGGCACCCCCTGCATGGCACTAGGGTGCAAATGAAGGGGGAACTTGGGTGGGGGCACTCCCCAGAAAAGATATAAGATTTGGAAATCATAACCTAGGGCGGGGGATCTCTGAGCAGATTGCTCCTTCGCTTAGGTGGATTTATTCATCAATGAACTGGTTTAATTTTTTTTTTGCAGCCCCCCCACAAGGGTCCAAGTGTCATTTGAGCCCTGCCTGGCCCCCTCTGCGCTCACAGCCATGGCTGTCCACAGGGGTAGAGCACGTGGTCTTTGGCAGGCACAAAGTCACCACACACTAGAGAGAGACCTGCACCTCCCTTTAGCTGCAGCTGGCCGAGCTTTAACAAGCAGCATCCAGGAGTGGCAGGAGATATGCCTTTCTTAGTAAATCAGTATAATTTGGGGGCTGGCTCCTCACTTTTCACTTCCCCAGTGTGAGGAGGGGGCGTATATCAAGCACCACAAACATCCCTGTCTCTGCACCTCCTCACATACATTGAATTTACAGCTCGGTGCATCCTAACCAAGTCGCTGCTCTGTGGGTCCGAGAGCCCCCACTTCATTTCTTGCAAGGCCTGACTTACTTGTGCATGCTTTTGCCTGCATAGGGTTGCCAGGGGAGGGCTGATGCTGCTCAATTCAGGGAGGCAGGAGGATCGGTTCCTGTTGTCATTGTTCTTGTTGGCTGGTTCAGCACTGTGCCCTGATCAATACCTGCACATGTGCTCAGAACGTGGTCTAAAGGCACAGGTAAAATATATACAAGACGGTCCTGCTTCGTGCCAACTATTTCCAGTTTCCCCTAGGGCTTGGAGAACCTGATGTCACTGGCAGTTTGCCTTTGATTGCAGGCGGGGGACTTCAGGTCCTGATCCTGATGTCTTTTTAAACAGGAAAAAAATCCCAACCTCTTTTCAAATGGGAGGATATGGTCTGCAAGCTTGCTGAGTGTGCTGCAGCAGGGCTTGGGCTGGAAGCTGAGTACATAAGGGTGAAGCTGTTTTGCCTCAGGTTTCCTGGCCTGACTCACGCGTGATGGTTTAAGCAGCACTCGGATGTACATGAAGAAATACTTCACTGCCTGTTGTTTATTGGTTGGGGGTTGGTTGTTTGGTTTGTGTTCTCTTTTTTCAGGAAAGGTTTCAAGCTGTGCAGAAGCAACCCAAACTCTCCAAAAAAAAAGTCTGTTCTAAGATGCATCGGGAAATTCCAGGACAGTTTATTTGGTTTTTGGTGAAATTAAGAAGGCCCTTCCCTGGGAAACTATTTTCAGTCTCACAGGGAGGCTGGGCAGTCCCTCCACAAGACAGGACCTTTTATAAATACCAGAATTATAAAGGAACCCAGGTTTTAAACTTCCTGTTTTCCAAAGAGAGAGGCCAAATACCAGTTTTGACTCTGGAGCTCTGTGCAGATTTGAAACCCATTTCCCTCACACTTGGGTGTTTGGATTTGAGGGGATAGTTTCTCAAAATACACGTCAGTCACATAAACATGTAGAGAAGATATTGGGACAAATGCATTACTGCTGCAAGCCCCAATCATGTCTGTAAGGGATATGGGACTTCGATCTGTAATGTCTAACAATAATACCAGCACCACTTAAATGGCGGGACGTGTCTTTCTAAACTTGAGGCATCTTTCATGTTAGTAACAAGACCGAGAACTCAGCTTTTGGGTTTGCATCTGACCATTCTGCACAGCCCTGAGCTTGACCTCCTGACAATCCCCTCTGTGACATTCTCTGAAATGCTAAGCTCCCTCACCTGTGGTAGACTGCCTTGAAAGCAGAATGAGCTCAGTGAACCACACTACCAGGTTCTTTTCCCTTGAAGTCAAGGGAGACTTATTTCAGTGGACCTAGGATCTGAGCTTAGAGCTCTGGACCTTAGAGCAATGGACCTTAGCACTAATTGGGAATGTTGCATGCTCAGGGCATTGAGGGACAGGCCCAGGATTTTCGGAAGTCACCAGGAATAGTGAGTGCTGATGAACACAGAGCTGTTCCCCCCTCCCTCCTCCCCAGTTCCAGCGCTCATCCTCCTTCCCCCCACACTCAGCTGAAACAGGAACTCAGAAACAGCTGAAAGGGAAGGAAGTGGGAAGCAGTGTCCCATTTTGAGACAAGACAGATATAGTCACTCTACTTAAAGGTGTCTCAAGTTAGGCACCAAAATTGATACATTGAAAGAAATCATAGAAATACAGGGCAGAAAGAGTCTCCAGGATGTCATATGCTCCATCGTCCTGCTCTGAAGCAGGAACCTCCCCAAGATGTACTTAGGCTCTCCCTGACAGCTGTCTGGCGAACCTGTTCCTAAAAACGAGACACACGGATCCCACAGCCCCCTGGGTAACTTGTTCCAGTGCTTAACTATTCTTATAGTTAGCAAGTCTTTTCTTAAGAGCTAATCCAGATGTCCACTGCTGCAAATTAAGCAGATAACAACTTCTCCTATGCTTAAAAGACACGGAGCCTAATTCACCACCATCCTCTTTAGAATAAACTTCAGTCTGCTCTTTTTAAACTAAGCTAACCAGATCCTTTTAACATCTCCTCTTTCTAAACCTTTTTAGTCATCTCCTAAAAAGGGAACTTCTTGCTTAAGCTTCTAAATATGATAGCACTAACCTTCCTCACACTTATTCCTGTTGTCCACAGTATAACTGCATTGGCTTAAACGGCGTTATTCCTTATTCACACTCCTGGAATACCTGCACCAGCAGTCAGTCCTTTTATACTGCATTTTACGTTTTTAAACCTGTAGTGTATAGGGAGGACAGATGAATACAGAAGGCCCATCTAATTTATACAAAGAGGCTTTTAAACATATATTTATTTGGCAAGCCACATTCTCAGAGTCAGAGTAAACATACCCTCTGTCTCGAATGGCCAGTCTAACTTTTCAGCCCCCCCCCCGGAGCTTTCCATTTCCTTAAAATCACCAGCTGTGGCCTCAAGTAGAAAAAGAAGTACAAAATAAGCTTCTGAATCTCAAGATTTTTTCAAAACAGTGTATGGGATCTAATCCTGCGTCCCTGCTCAGGCAAAAATTCTCCACTGAGTTTTGTTTTAGGTGCACTGCCTTCTGAAATCATTGTGGATTTTTCTTACAGCTCAGAAGCCCGCGTTCATTTGTAATGTGACGACATTAACAGATGTCGCAAGAAAAGCAGCTAAACACAGCTGCACTCACGAGGAGTGCATGTTCCTCTTAAATGACAAACAGTTTTTGTTCTGTGTTTGTACAGCACCTAGCACACTGGGGTCCTTGTCCAGAACTGGGGCTCCATGGCCCTACCGCAAGACAACACATGAAAATAAACATAATTATATTTGCTTAGGAATAGCTTGTCAGCCTGGACAGCACAACACCTTTCTTTATGGCAAGAGAGGGCCCTAATGATTCTCTTTCTTTATGTGGGATCCTGGTATGGAAAAGGATGACAAACACTATGCAAAGGCATGGATGCTTAACCTCCAGCCTACAGGACAAATGCAGCTTGCAGAGCCATGACACAGGAATTTGGCAGTGGGGGGAGCACCCCCCCTGATGTTAGATTCCCAAGTCCCGTGCAGTGGGTAGAAGGCCATATACCCTTCTCCTCATGGGGCTGAGCCATGCCCCCTCTGCCAGGCCAAATCCCCTTCCCCCACATACCCAAATCATGGCTGAAAGGGGGCCAGGCCATACCCTCTTCCCCTCGTGGGGCTATTCTATGCTTTGTCCCCACTCTGGGGGCCTCGCTGGGACCTGGCCAACCCCCTTCCGCCACGTGGCTGGATCAGGGTCGGGCTGCCCCATCCCGCTCCCCACACCTGGATGGGGCTACATCTGACTTGTGCATCAGATTAGCATCCAGCCCGTGGACAGACCAGGCATTGCCCTTCCAGCCTGCTGGGCAAACTGTACTACAGCAGTGGTTTTCAACCTTTTTTGATTTGTGGACCCCTAAAAAAATTGAATGGAGGTGCAGATCCCTTTGAATTGTAAGTGTGGTTATTCACCTGGTTTTGATTGATCATAGTCATCTTTCATGGACCCCATAGACATAGTCTGTAGACCCCTGGGTGGCCACAGAGCACAGGTTAAAAGCCACTGTACTACAGCATTTAACTTCTCAGCAGAGGACCAAATATAACCATGGCAAGAATGAACACAGCTCCCAGGAGGTTCAATGGGAGTTGCATGTGCTCATATGACTTCCATCTGAATATGTATAATTAATCTAAAGGACCTTCAGAGTGAAGTTAAAATCAAACTAAGGACTTGGTGTCCTCCTGCATTTATTCTGTCCCAGTGACACTGCCAGATCTGATGGGCTGCTCTACAAAGATGACCCCCATGCCCCTGCCACCTTGGAAATGCAACTGGTGTCTGGAGGTGGAGCTGCCTATTACCCTCCTTGTTTCTCAAAAATAAACATTATGGATTGGGCCCTTTGAATGTTTGCACTGCTCCCACTGTTGTTTCTGGGAGTCAAACTGGTTGGCAGGTCCCAGAAGGATCCCCCCAGAGCCAAGGGGATCTTTTGGTGGCCGTGCATTACAGAGTTTTCTCTTCTGCTTCCAGTCCTGGCTTCTGGCATAGAATTAGGTGAGAGGGAAGAGGGCAAGGACAGTGCATCCCTATCCTGCTCTGGGTCCTGACAGCAGTTTTAATCCCTCAGGGCTTTTAGGAATGAAACTGGCTGCTCATTTGCACTAGCCCTGCACATGGCACTCAGGTTTGGGACAGCACAAAGCAGGGGCTTTACCCCACCTTTAACACACATCCCTCATCGGAGCTGAGAATGCACAGGTTAATTGAAATTTAGCCTATTCTTGATCTGTATTGGCTCTGCCAGGCCTGTCACTTCTCAGGAGAGCTGGCAGAAAATGACTGAAAGTTAGAGTTAAAACCCAGATGCTTCATACAAATGATCATATAAATGATCTGAGTTTTAGTGTATCACATTTCTATTACTTTTCCATTAAAACAGAGTCCTGATTCCTCATTAACTCTGCAGAGGACATCACAAGAGAGCCTTCCCCTGGCCCATGTTACTCTTCTATCTGCAGAAAGTCCACAGCATGGTTCCCAAATGGTTCTGCAGGAAGGATGCTGCTCGGCTACCATTCAAGGCTGTTTGCATTAAAGTCTCTTTGTTTTAATAACAATCCTTGCCAGGGGTGGCTTTTTGCTACCACCATGTGAAGACAAATTTGTAGAAAAAGTCATAGGATTTGAACCGGAAGCCTTTCTCTGCAACGTGGGGCTGGATGGAAACGTTGTACCCTTTGGCTTCCACATCCATTTTGATGCAGTCCAGCAGGTCAGAAATACTTGGTGTTGCTTTCCAGGGGCCGAACTTCACCACCGATTTCTTATCTGTGTCCAAACTGTTCAGGGCTTCGTGACACTTGGCCACATCCTCCTCAGTTCTGACCACACAGGCCATGACACTAGACTGACGGGAAGCGACTGCCTCCGCCCTGGCGATGCGGATCATCAGCTCAATGTTCTCATTGTAGCTGGGCACACGGGCCAGGAACTGTTTCCTTGCCACCAGCTCACCAAAGATCTGCGGGGAATCTTCCAGCTGCTTGATCAGAGGCTCAATGTCATAATACAAGGCCTCCTTATACACATCCTGGACACATTGTGTGGGCACTTGGTTACTACGGAGATATTCCAAGATGTATTTAAAATAGGTCCCTGGCCTGTCGATGAAGTACCTCCCCTCAGAGTCAGTCCGGAGCTTGGGCTGGCCCGTAAACATCTCAGCCAGCTTGGAGCCTGGGTGTTTCTTCAAGGTGCTCAGAGTTGTTATGTACATCTCCCCACCAACATTCAGCTCTACGATCGGCGGCAACTACAGGTACAGGGACAAAAACACCACGCTCGTTACACACCATAGGCTGGTAGGGTCTTGGAGAAAAGGGAAAAAAACCTAATAGCAGCTGGAGATCAGAATGACAGGGCAAAGGGGCAGATGTGCCTCTGCCCTCTCCTGGAGGGACTCAGAGCAGCTTGTCTTTGTGTCAGAGGCCACATCCTGCTACCAGCTAACTAGGACTGTACTGAAGAGCTGACATTACTGTAGTGTCTCAGCCATCCACCCTCTTACCTGGACTTATCCTCGCAACCTCCCCAGAAGCAAGGGAAGGGCTATTACGCCCACTTTGTAGATGAGGAATTGAAGCATAGAAAGGCTAAAGGGGGTGCCTCAGTGCTCCTGCTCCATGCACCAGACCCCAAAATAGTGAAGCTACCCTGGTTGCATGCAGATGAGTGTGCATGGGCATGTCCCCAGGGACAAATCGCAGTGGCACATATTTGTGCCCAGCATCTGGGCTGGCCCCAGCAGCCTTACCTGGGGTCCTGGGAGCCTCCCAGGGCTCCAGCAACAGCAATCTGGGCACGCAGAGCCTGGCTGGCAGGTGGACCATGGCTCTGGCTGGCCAGGCTCCAGTTTCAGGTGGGACACAATGCTTTTTTTCAGTGCACTTTTTTAAAAACTGGGGTTTCCCAGTATCTAAATCTGGCTCCATGCTGTAAATATGCAGCACAGAGAACCAAATCAAATGCATGGGGTGTGTTTTGTGGTGCTTCAAAAGTCTTTGAGGTGCCACAAAATGCACTTGTGCGCTTATATGAATGTGGCCCCTGAAAGTATCCCCCATGGTTGCTCTTCAGCATGCCAGAGACAGAGAGCTCAAATGTGTGTGGCTTGGGAAGCAGCTTCACCACCTCAGGGCTGGGTTTGGCATCTGTGAACAGAAGCATGTGGGCTGGGAGAGCGGCACTGGAAGCATAAGCGATAGTACAAACATGACCTAAGTGACTGGCCAAAGGTCACACAGAAAGGCGGTGGCAGAGAACAGGACTGAATATTCCTAGGCGAGCACTGTAACTGCTGAACCATCTTTTTTTTCCTCTATCCTTTCCCATACTCTTCTTTTGTTTAAGTGACAGAGGCATGTGCTTGGGGAGCAGGTAGATCTGAGCTCTCTTCCCTGTTACTGGGAAGTTTCTGTGGAGTAAATGTGTCAAGCATTGAGCCTCAGGCCTGATACAGTCATAGCCACTCAAATCTGATTTTCTTGCTCATTTTGCTCAGGGTTTTCCCTTAAAAGGCCAAACTAGTGCTGTGAGAGACATTACTCGTAAAAACCCAAACGAGGGTGACCTACTTCACGATCTTGTTACAACCTTAACAGCTGAGCTAAGAAAGCTGATCCCCCACCACTGAAATGCAGCTGCTTCTGGGGCAGAAGACAGAAGCTGTTTATCAAGGCATCATAAAACTGCAATATGTAAGGACAGGAAGCGAAGTATAATTGTCTATCCAACTGAAAAGGCAGGGGGATTTCAGGAGGAAGAAAGTTGCTACTCAGATCTGAGTTTGTGCAGGATACTGGAGTTGTCTATTGCCACTGCCTTTGCAAAAAAGGTCCGCAAATAATCTATGAACAGAAGCAATGCTGTGGTGTATCCTCCTTCCTAACCATGCAGCAGGAGCAGCAGCTGGAGGCTTTTTTAAGTCCCTGAAGAAGGTAAGAATTCCCTTCTCCCTTCCCATCCATGCTCGGAGGCCTGTTTGTCTGGGGGTGAAAGGAGCTGTTCTCCCACTCCAGCCAGGCTGTGCAGCTGGGAGTGGGAGATGCAGCCACTTTCGAGGTACCAGTCACTGCTCCCTCTCTCCCCCTTGTAAAATCTTGGATCCACTTCTGGCTTCTGTCTTTGAATGTCCAGTTCATTTTACTTCCTTCCATTCCCTCCAACAGTACAAGATCTCTCAACTCCATTCAGTCCTGACGCCACTAAAAAACTGCAATGCCTCCCCCTCTGTGCACAGTCACTTTCTTTAGTGCTCCCTGCGGCAAAAGCAGGGGGAGAAGTTAGTGACAGAAGCAGGGTTTTTTTTACTCTATTATTCCTGTAATGCAAGTCATATGCATTATACAACCCTGCTGTGACCACACCTGGCCCCTGGGAAGTCATCACCAGGCACAGATCAGCCTTTCTACCGGAGCTCACTTGCTCTTAGTTTACAGGTAGGTAGGGCTTGATTATGTGAGCATCAGCTTCAGTGATGCTAGTCAGATGCTTAAAGTACTTAAGGTTTTTACTGGGTCAAGCCCTGAGCGCTCAGCACTTTGCAGGACTGAACCCAGAGCCAGGGGAAACGTGAAGCAGGATATAAGGTTAGATCCAAAGAGACAGTTATTTACCAGTTAGCAGTGAATACAGCAACAGACTGGGACTCAGCAGACTGGGTTCTATTCCCAGTTCTGCCACTACCCTGTGAGGTGACCTTAGGCAGGTCACTCCCAGGATCTATGCCTCAGATTCCCCATCTGTAAAATGGGGACAGTCATTCCAAGAACTCTTTGAGATCTACTGAGGAGAGGCGCTGCATGAGCACTGACACTGGCATTAATGAGTGAAACTACTCTCTGGCAATGATGTTCAAAAGTAATGTCTGCACTGTGTCCCTGTTGCCCGGGAGAGGAGGGCTGCTCTTGAACAAGTCCCACCTACCTACTCCTGCCCAGCATATGCCAAGCCCAGAAGTGACGTGGTGAAACCACTGCAATCCCTCACCTGAGCTCGCTGTCTCTGGTGTGCTGGAAAATGGCAACGGGGGAAACTTTCAGGGCAGCTTCACACCTTACAGGCTGGGGGGTTGTCTTGGAGAGCAGCTGTCCAGGGACCCGGTGCAGATGTGGCCTCCAACACAGCTTTGCCTTAATTCTCGACTGTGTAGAAGTCATCAATCAAGGAAGGCTCAGGTATTCCTTTAAGGGTCTGACAGATTTAGGTTCAAGTCAAGTTAGCCCATTTCCAGGGCTGTTATTGCCACAGCTCGTGTCCCTGCTCAGGAATCCTTATGCTGTGAATCAACAGTGTGATCTAAGCGGGGTCAACAGAAAACACTTTTCACCCCCTTGCCCTGTTCTGGCGCAGGCAGATCCCAGCAGCTCAGGGACAGCAAGCAGACAAAAAGCACCATAAGAGCCAGAAGGAGGTCAGAAGGCTTTCTGCTCCTCTCCCAAACTGCTCTGATCCCCCCAGGACAGACCCTGGGCCAGCCCCACTCACCGTTTGCAGGTTGCTTGTGACTTGCTTCCCAAGGGACTTGTGCTCTGATGAAATGCTCATCTCCCCAGGGCCTGCAGGGCAGAGAAGGAAGGGAAGGCTCAGAGGTACAAGGGAAACCTGTCTCCTGCTTAAGGGGTTACACAGCTCCAAGGCACTGGTCTAATTCCTCCCTTAGTGTCTAGGCAGTGGCTTGGGTCTTTTTAGGTTGCTGTGTGCGAGTGCAGCCCAGCCACTGCTCAGTCACAGGTTACAGGTGTCAAAGAGGGGAGGGACGGCTGGTAGGAGGAAGTGTTTACTCATCAGTCCTCTGGCAACTGGCGCAGAACCTTGCAAGGGGCAGAGCAAACTTTGGCTACGTGCCCGCGGCACCTCCCTACAATCTCCGTGCAGTAACGAAGCCCAGACAATTCCTCCCCAGCTTGTGGCCCAAGGCGGAGGGCAGACTAGGAGCGGGGACTGTCTCACGGATCTGCTTATACTCTGCTTTCCCAGCTTCTGGCCTCCCTGTTTTAAAGATACAGTAAATGGCTTCATCAGAATTATTTCCCATTGCTCTCACACACCGCAGCTTGCATGTTCTGACACGGATGTCTGTAGTCAGGCATCTTCACAAGTAGTCCTAGTTGCTTAAGTGCCAGTGGGTGCCTGATAAAATTGTACAGATAAAAATCAGACAGGATGTGAAGCTAGGCTCCAGCCTAAAGCTTTTTGATGGCTCATAAATGTTTGGTTAGTATCCCTATCCCACCCCACTCTCAAATGTCCAGGAAAGTGGAAAATGCTGAATATTCCTTTGTGGTACTTCTAGCATAACTGGGATTAGGCGACAGTGGAGAAGTTGTGAAGGATTCTGCATTCATTATATTTCTGGGCTTATTTTTAAATCACAGAGGTTTGAATAAGGGTGAATATACACAGGGTCCTGAAAGTTCAGGTAAGAGAGAGGTGGTTCACTGCATTAGTCTGAAGTCAGGCAGAAGGCAAGGTAGACATGTACCTTTCTAGACTAACTCACTTAGAGATGTATCACACAAGATCTCCTAAGCAGCAGGTTTATGTCATCAGAAGCCATGAAGGGACTGCAGGAAGCAGAGCTGCTAAACAGGAAACAGCGACTAGTATACAACAGGTAGGGAAGGGGGAAGGAAAAAGGAGGGGGCAGTGATGAAAGGCAAGGTGGGTAGGAGAGAGAAAAATAAAGCCATTAACCCATTGAGGGTCATAGGGCTTGTAAAAGCAAATCAAGGTAATGGGAAAAGACCCTACATCCCCCAGCTTGATCACCTCAGCCACATTATTAATGATTTCCAACCCCCACTGGAAACAACAACCATCTCAAGGTAGTCAAGAGGGACAAACCTGTCCTGGCTCATAGGCAACCCCCAGCCACAAACAGCATCTCTCCAGCAACATGCTACCTAACTCCTCACCAAGGCACCAGACTCTGCTCCAGTGCAAGATGTCCAGTTGTGCCCCCTCCTTGACACGGCCCACATTATCACTGGACCAAATAACGTGAATTATTATAACATCTGAGGGTCACTAACCTGCACCTTTACCATGGTCATATCTACCATCACCTGCTTACAGTGCCCCTCTGCTGCCAACACTGGACAGACGGGGCCAACCTTCTGTAAGAACAAACACTGATCCGACATAAATGCCACAAGGAGACAAGCCTCTGGCAGAATGCTTTAACCCCCCTGGACCCTCTATCGCGGACCTCAGGGTAGCTGTTCGTAGATAACGAAACTTTAAAAGTGAACTTCAATGGGAAATTGGAGGACAAGAAATCATCCACAGACTGGAGTGTGTTAAATTTGGTCTAACCAAGATCACAGATTCTGATCCCATTACCTGGATATGTTTTTACAAGTCCTGTGTCCCTCAAAGGGTTTTTTTTTTTCTCCTGCCTACCCACCCTGCCTCTCTCAGCAGTGCCCCCACCTCCCTTCCCTTTCTGTTGTGTCCTAGTCACTACTTTCTATTTAGCAGCTCTGCTTCCTGCAGTCCCTTCACAGCATCAGATGAAGTAAGCCCTCTGCTTATGACAGCTTATCTCTGATTCAGTTAATCTATAAGGTGCAAATCTACCCTGCCTTGAGGTAAGAGTCACGCACCTGAGTGAGCCTGTCTGCAAACTTGATCACGCTCTTGGCTTTACTATGGGTCTCCAGCCAGGTGAGAGTGCCCGGCATGAGGCTTCATGAGCCAGGGGAGAAGCAGGTACACTGGGTCCAGGACTGTCATGTGGGGGTCTGTTACTTCGTCCACCCTGATGCTGGAAGCCTCATGGGCCAACTCCCCCTGGGTTATCATGGGCACCAGGCTGGGGTTGCGGACGCTCCTGTGAACCTTGCCCAGCCAGCCAACAGAGACCTGTCAAAGATACAGCCCGCAGAGCCTCATCATCTTACCCCAAATGCTGGCCCCACTCAGGGCCAGTCCAGGACCCACCACATGGCAGATTCAGTGCCTGTAGTACCTGCTCTGGCTGGTCCAGGACACAAGCCACACATGGCATCTGTGCCAGCTGGCCTGGAGTGGACACTGTGTGCAGCACAAGTCCTAGAGCAGCCAGAGCTGGTACTGGGTTCAGCATGCAGGGATGGGGGTGGTCCACAGGTCCCCCGCATCGCAGATCCAGCGTCCACTCTGACTGGTCTGGGACCTCTGCTCAACACAGCATCCACCCCAGACCAGCTGGAGTGGGCACCGCGTGCAACTCATGTCCCACATTCCCAGTCCCAGTCTGGGCGCTGTATTTGGCACGGGGGGGAGCAGGGGGAGCCATGGGCCCAATCCAGCCCACAGAGCCAGCCCCATGCTGTTCATCCAGCTCATGGACTTATCCTGTGTCACTCCTCTGGCCTGTTGGGCCAGATGATTTTCACACCTGAAGAAAGTCTCGTGGGTGTACTTTGAGTTCCAGGATCCAGAGCACAGGATGCCGAAGTGGGCACTACAGCTCTGATGCCATCGGGAAGTCCCAGGCAGGCAGACATAGAGACGATGCCCTACATGGGCCAACAAAAGCTTTGCCTGGGCTAAATGCTACTTTCTTCTGCCCACCCCCCTGCACTGCCAGTCTCTCTTTTCCCCACTGCAGAGGGGAGTGTTCAGCAGGTGCTTGTGACACCTGGGGAGGGTGGTTGTTTGTGACTGTCTGCCCAGGGATTGGTGGGGATAGGGGTTGTCGTGGCCAGCTGGGACAGGTGCAAGGCCGGCTGGAAAACCATGGCTGGTGACTGGGCAGGGGTGTGCCTGCAACTCCACTGCATTGCTTTGTTTACCAGTTGCTTGTACGAGCCAGGCACCCGGGCCAGCAGCCTCAGTCACTCCTCAGTGCCAGTTCCAGCCTATTAGGAAATGGGGGTGGGGAAGGATTGGGCTGTGCCCATGGACTTGTCTCCTCCCAGCTCTTCCCTGTCTCAGCAGCAAGCCATGGGGGCGGGGGCAGGGCGG